TATCTGTCAGTTAGAAGTGTCCGAAATTTCGCTCGGGCGTTTCGATCTAGACAGACAGAGGAATTGAGCTAAATAAAAGCTTGTAAAAAGAATTGCGCATCAAATGAACGGCAAACAATGTGTATAATTTTGCGGAATACTAGTACGCTACTTTATAAATTCATATGCGTTTTTGAGAAATCGGAATTAGCGTAAAGTACTACTTCCGGTCGACGACGGGAATTACTCAAAATTTAACAGAAGGCAGATAATTAGATCTTTTACTTATATGTGAAATTTCGTTTATCTATGTGAAACAGTACTCAAGTTATAGGCTTTCGAAAAAAAAAAGTAGAATAAGTTCCGCTTGCTTTTACTGGAAATCGCTGAATATAATACTTATATATGAAATTTCATCAGCCTAGCTGTACCGGCACTCAAGTTATAGTGTTCACAGACATACACACACAGATATACACATATACACACACAGACATACGGACAATATTGCAAAACTATGTTTTTCCGACTCAGGAACGTGTAAAACGTCTCTCGATTTCAATTTTTTGCACGATTACAATACTTCCTTTATACGAGAAAGTAAAAACAAAGAAATGTAAAAGATCGTGAAATATTTCTCCAGTAGTCTTAAAAGTATAACATTACAGGGAATGAACAGACGAACCAACAGACAGACGAACGAACAGACAGGAGGACAGATGGACCAACAGATGGACCAACAGACGGACTAACAGACGGACTAACACACTAACAGATGGACTAACAGACTAACAATTTGACGAACAGGACGCTCCATGTTCAGTTCCTACAGCCGTAAAAAAAAAAAACTTGCTTTAAGACAGAGAGATGAAGAGATAGTGTGTATTAATATTTTGGGCCCGTAAATCTCGGCAAATCTGACTACATTTTTTACTCCACCAGAATTTCCCTGATACGCGGACGAAAAAAAAAAACGTAAATGGAATCAAAGAAACCTCCACTCTCTAAGGGCAGGTCTCTCTAGCAGCCCCACCCCACTCCCGGGCTCAAATCTTAGCAGTCCCGGCACGATTCTATCGGAAAGTTCAGCTGTGCCGGAAAATTAGACCTTAATTTTTTCATTGACCGGAAGATGCCGGGCAGAAAGGCAATGTCATAATTCTATAACAAGTGATTTGGATGCGAGGGTGGGATGGTGGGGTGGGATGGTGGGGTGGGATGGTGGGGTGGGATGCTGGTGTGAGATGTGGGGGTGGGATGGTGGGGTGGGATGGTGGGGTGGGATGGTGGGGTGGGATGGTGGGGTGGGATGGTGGGGTGGGATGGTGGGGTGGGATGGGGTGGGATGGTGGGGTGGGATGGTGGGGAGGGATGCGAGAGTGGGATGCTGGGGGTGGGATGCTGGGGTGGGATGCGGGGGTGGGATGGTGGGGTGGGATGCGGGGGTGGGATGGTGGGGTGGGATGGTGGGGTGGGATGGTGGGGTGGGATGCGGGGGTGGGATGGTGGGGTGGGATGGTGGGGTGGGATGGTGGGGTGGGATGGTGGGGTGGGATGCTGGCCAAATAGAAATTGTAGCGAGTGATGGGCTTTTCATTTTCACTGATATAGTTTCGGGGGGGAGGGGGTTTACTAACTTGGACACTTGGTAGAGGGTTTGTTCATTTGTACAATTATAGGGAGGGTTCGTTTATTTGTACAATTATAGGGAGGGTTCGTTTATTTGTACACTAGTTGGGAGGGTTTGTTTCTACGCCAGTCAGGCCTACATTAGGCCAAAAACAAAAGAAAATGAACATGGTTTGGACAGTCTATGACTTAAACTTTTAAAAACACAGTTAGGCCTTTACTTTTAGTGAACGTTAATATCGGGTGTAGAGGTCAGGGGTGGCGTTCTTTAAATGGACACGTGTGGGAATCCAACTATTAGTGGGCCTCATAAAAGGTTGACACAAGAGGATGGAGGTGTGGTTTTTTGACGCTAATGCCGTGCCTACTGTTTTTAGCTGGGCCTAGTTTAACCTCTGTATGTTAGTGATAATCTCCTACATAGAGTGGTTTGAAATTCTTTGTTTTCTTTTTGCGTCTGTAATCCAACAAGTTCCAAGTCTTTATCGTCTGCTCTGTAACGACTACATTGGATCTATTGGATACTTATTTTGGTTCATTGTTGGTGTCAGTTTTGTTTTCGCACACGTTAGATAAATACTTGAATGACAGTGGGATCAATAATTATAAGGCTAGTGGTAGTGTGTCAGTCATTCCGTCATTCCGTCATCGCTATAGATTTTGGAACCATTAAAATAAACACATCACTTGCATTGCAGTGTCTTATTATAAGTAATATATTAGGGTCTGTTTATATATATACACACACACATATATATATATATATATATATATATATATATATATATATATTTATTTATTTATTTATTTATTTATTTAAATTTATTTCATAGTTTTTACTCTTTAGCATAACGTAAAGAAAATATTAAATACACTCAAATTGCTACAACATATTAAACGGATCAATGTCAAATATAATTTTTGTTTAGATTCTTAGAAAAAGTGGATACATTTTAATAATGATAATTAATTCAACTGTTTTGTAAATTTGCCAGCCAAGGGAGGTAATTTAAAATAAATTCAACTCACGTTAATAAACAAAATGTGAATGCAAATCTCCAAGAGTGAATTATTGTTGGAGTAATATAATTAGCAAAATGTGAATGCAACTTCTGCAGACGTGTAAAAGGACATTATTGTTGAAATATTATAATTAGCATGGATTGATAAAAGGCTTTTATTTATATTATTCACTGAACGTACTGTTTACTAATTATAATTTTTAATCAACTATTCCTCACTAATATACAGGCGTCATCGCGTTCATTAGGTGCGCAATGGTTTGAGTCATGAAACTCTATTGTACTTTAAAAAAATTTAAAGTACTGAAAAAAAGCATGAATTGATAAAGTGCAATATGGTAGGTAATACACGGATATTTTAAATACTGCCTTTTATTTATTTTATACACTGAACGTACTGTTTACTAATTATTATTCTATCTTTCGTTTTGCGGACAAGCTGGGGTTTTTATAGTAATTCACCGAGTCAGGCGCGTCCACCGGCGCTCGGACAGGGTGCGATTTGCCGCCGAGGGCTAGACTGTGATCACTATGTGTTTATGTTGTGTTAATGTTATGAGTGTTGTGTTTGTTTTTTCGTATGTGTTTTTTTTGCGTTTGTGTTTGCAATGTGTTTGTGTTTTCATTTGTGCTTTTTTTTCGTTTGTTTTTTCTTTTGCGTTTGTGTTTGTGTTGCGTTTATGTTTTCGTTTGTTTTTGCATTGTATTTGTGTTTTCTTTTATGTTTGTGTTGCAATTGTTTCTTCTTTTGTGTTTGTGTTTGTGTGTTGCTTCTGTGTTTTCGTTTGTGTTTGCATTGTGTTTGTGTTTTCTTTTGTATTGGAGTTTTCTTTTGTTTTTGTGTTTGTGTTTTCTTTTGTGTTTGTGTTGGTAAATTTAAAAACGATTTACCGTGGCGGATCACGGGTATGCAGCTTGTAAGTATATGTTCTGATTCAGAGGTTTGAGATTTCTATAGGCCTAAAGTAAAAAGCAATTTATTTAGTACTACACGTTGGCGGATCTCGGATATATATATATATATATATATATATATATATATATATATATATATATATATATATATATATATATATATATATCAGAGGCCCCCAAAAAGTAAAGTTTCAGCCCGGGGACCCTCCCAAGCTTAATCAGCCCCATATAACCACATACTTACCCCATATACCCACGTTGTACTTACCCCATATACCCACCTACTTACCCCATATACCCACATACTTACCCCATATAACCACATACTTACCCCATATACCCACGTTGTACTTACCCCATATACAAACATACTTACCCCATATACCCACGTACTAACCCCATATACCCACGTTGTACTTACCCCATATACCCACATACTTACCCCATATACCCACATACTTACCCCATATACCCACATACTTACCCCATATAACCACATACTTACCCCATATACCCACATACTTACCCCATATACCCACATACTTACCCCATATACCCACATACTTACCCTATATACCCACATACTTACCCCATATACCCACGTACTAACCACATATACCCACTTACTTACCCCATATACCCACATACTTACCCCATATACCCACATACTTACCCCATATACCCACCTACTTACCCCATATACCCACATACTTACCCCATATACCCACGTTGTACTTACCCCATATACCAACTTACCCCATATACCCACATACTTACCCCATATACCCACATTCTTACCCCATATACCCACATACTTACCCCATATACCCACGTACTAACCACATATACCCACTTACTTACCCCATATACCCACGTTGTACTTACCCCTTATACCCACATACTTACCCCATATACCCACCTACTTACCCCATATACCCACATACTTACCCCATATACCCACCTACTTACCCCATATACCCACATACTTACCCCATATACCCACATTCTTACCCCATATACCCACATACCTACCCCATATACCCACCTACTTACCCCATATACACCACATTCTTACCCCATATACCCACATTCTTACCCCATATACCTACATACTTACCCCATATACACACCTACTTACCCCATATACCCACATACTTACCCCATAACCCACTTACTTACCCCATATACCCACGTACTGACTCCATATACCCACATACTTACCCCATATACCCACCTACTTACCCCACATACCCACGTACTTACCCCACATACCCACATACTTACCCCATATACCCACCTACTTACCCCATATACCCACTTACTTACCCCATATACCCACATACTGACCCCATATACCCACATACTTACCCCATATACCCACATACTTACCCCATATACCCACATACTTACCCCATATACCCACGTTGTACTTACCCCATATACCCACATACTTACCGAAATATGGTATGAAATATGAGCCAGGGCCAGGGGTCGGGTCTAGGGATCGTGCCGAGGACCCCATAGACCCCAAAGACCGTGTAGAGCTGCAGCAGACAAGCGAACATGAAGAGAAAAGTGAGGAAGTAGGTCAGATGGACGGCGCGCTGGACTACTTTACTCTGGCGGATCCTGAAGAGACTGAGTGCCGCCGGCATCATTGTTCTCATCCGCTCCGACAAGCCGGCGCTGGTGGTCGATTCATCATCCGAATGGGAGGGCGTTGACCTCTGCGATGAGAGATCGCCGCTTAGATGAGCCACATCATCACGTGACGAGGGCTGGCGATGTAACGAATTACTGGCCTTGCTGAAGGTGGTGCAGTAGAAAATGTTCTCCGTGTCGGCCAGGTAGCCGTTGTCCCTGGGGGAGCCGCTGGCGTGATCCAGGTGATTGCTGATGGTCTGCTCGGCCTGGGCTAGAACCTCGTACTGGTGGGCGAGTCTCTGGCCGGCTGTAGCACAGACCGACCGCTCACATGTGTCCTCGGGCCAACTCTCCGCCGGGAAGTCCGTGCCCACGGTGGGCGTGGCTGCCTCCAGGGCGGCGGTGTCGGGGGGCGCGGGGGGCTGTGTGTGGGGGGTCGGGCTGGGGTTGTCCCCCTCGTCATCCTCGTCCAGGCTGTCTCGCGGCTCGCACTTGATGACCTCGTTCAGGGTGTTCCACGCCTCGGTGGAGCGGACATCCGGTGGCTGGAGTAGCGGCAGTTCCGGTACGGTGCCGTACGCCACATCGACGAGGTTGTCGCCCGTGTGGGTGGGGGTCAGATAGTGGGTGGAGCTTCCCTGGTAGGCGACACTGTAGGACCCCACGGCCTCCACGGTGGAGAGCGCGGCTGTTCCCGGAGAGATCGTCTCGTGTTTCGCATCACGCCCGCTTTTTGAGCGCGTTTTTGTCTCACCGGTAGCCGGTTTTTTCCGTGTTTGGTCGTCTGCTAGAGGCAGGGGCACGTAGGGACCTGAGCTCTTTGATTTCATCCTGCTGCTCTTTGTCTTCTGCACGTGCTTGTAGCCCTTCTTTTGACGCCGCGAGTTATCGTCCTTGGACGTCTCGACGTCAGTCGAACTCGTCGAGACGTCATCGTCGTCGGTTGCTATGGTAACCATCATGTGATCTTTTTCCGAGATCTTGAGCTTTGGGCGGGAAAGACGAAGGTTGCTGTTGGGTTTGTGGGGTGGGGGTGGGGCGGGGTTGATCTCCGCACATACCGGAAGTGTGACGGGAAATGGCGGGGAGTCGGGTGTGGTGGCCGGGAAATCCACGTGACCGATGGCGTCAGTGGGGGTGGTCGCCCCGTTCGTGTTGCCCCGCCTGTTGTTGCTGAAGGCGTTCAGCTCCTTGCGTGCTCGTTTGGTCTCAGTGGCGTACTGTGTGAGTCTGTGGATAGAATACAGGTGGGTCATACAGGTGTGTCATACTGGTGGATCATACAGGTGTGTGTGTGTCATACAGGTGTGTCATACATATGTGTCATACATGTGTGCCATACAGGTGTGTTATACAGGTGTGTCATACAGGTGTGTCATACAGGTGTGTCATACAGGTGTCATACAGGTGTGTCATACAGGTGTGTCATACAGGTGTCATACAGGTGTGTCATACAGGTGTGTCATACAGGTGTCATACAGGTGTGTCATACAGGTGTGTCATACAGGTGTCATACAGGTGTGTCATACAGGTGTGTGTGCCATACAGGTGTGTCATACAGGTGTGTCATACAGGTGTGTCATACAGGTGTGCCATACAGGTGTGTCATACAGGTGTCATACAGGTGTGTCATACAGGTGTGTCATACAGGTGTGTCATACAGGTGTGTCATACAGGTGTGTCATACAGGTGTGTCATACAGGTGTCATACAGGTGTGTCATACAGGTGTGTCATACAGGTGTGTCATACAGGTGTGTCATACAGGTGTGTCATACAGGTGTGTCATACAGGTGTGTGTGCCATACAGGTGTGTCATACAGGTGTGTCATACAGGTGTCATACAGGTGTGTCATACAGGTGTGTCATACAGGTGTGTCATACAGGTGTGTCATACAGGTGTGTCATACAGGTGTGTCATACAGGTGTGTGTGCCATACAGGTGTGTCATACAGGTGTGTCATACAGGTGTCATACAGGTGTGTCATACAGGTGTGTCATACAGGTGTGTCATACAGGTGTGTCATACAGGTGTGTCATACAGGTGTGTCATACAGGTGTGTCATACACCTATATACAAACCTGTACGACACACCTGTGTGACAGAACTCACCTGAAGCCGCTACAGATGAACGTGATACTGAGGTACAGCGCCCAGGCTATGAAACAGCCGCTGTCTAACAGCAGCAGCAGCTTGAGTGAGCGCTCGAATGAGACGAGGGACTCAATGATGACCACGAGGAACAGGTAGGTCAAGGTGCACCCCATCAACCAGCTCAAACTCCTGACCTTGCTGTTGCCCACGTCGACCTTGGTCACACGGAGCAGCATGACCTGCCAGATAAGCCAGATGCATGACGTCACACATCGATCACACACATTCAGATTGCATTACATTACGCATGCGCAGTCTCCCAGCGAAGAAAAAGAATTTCATTTCCTGCTATAAAGTACAAAAGCCGGGATTGATGCGCCGTGTGTACCGGAGCCAATGAAATTCTGGCCCCGGCTCATGAGCTGACGGCTCTGTTTATAGTCAGACGTGTAACGAAATATTGATTGGCTCCACCCGGTGGTGGATCTTCGGGATTAGAACTTGTGCAAGATATGTGTCTGCTGTTTGGTGTCAAGTACAGACTGACCAACAGTTCAACTGACCAACAGTTCAACAAACTGACCGACAGTTCAACAAACTGACCAACAGTTCAACAAACTGACCAACAGTTCAACAAAAGGACCAATAGTTTAACAAACAGTTCAACAAACTGACAAACATTTCAACAAACTGACCAACAGTTTAACAAACGGACCAACAGTTTAACAAACTGACCGACACTTAAACTGACAAACAGTTCAACAAACTGACCAACAGTTCAACAAACTGACCAACAGTTCAACAAACTGACCAATAGTTTAACAAACAGTTCAACAAACTGACCAACAGTTCAACAAACTGACCAACAGTTCAACAAACGGACCAATAGTTTAACAAACAGTTCAACAAACTGACCAACAGTTCAACAAACTGACCAATAGTTTAACAAACAGTTTAACAAACTGACCAACAGTTCAACAAACTGACCAACAGTTCAACAAACTGACCAATAGTTTAACAAACAGTTCAACAAACTGACCAACAGTTCAACAAACTGACCAACAGTTCAACAAACGGACCAATAGTTTAACAAACAGTTCAACAAACTGACCAACAGTTCAACAAACTGACCAATAGTTTAACAAACAGTTTAACAAACTGACCAACAGTTCAACAAACTGACCAACAGTTCAACAAACGGACCAATAGTTTAACAAACAGTTCAACAAACTGACCAACAGTTCAACAAACTGACCAATAGTTTAACAAACAGTTCAACAAACTGACCAACAGTTCAACAAACTGTTCAACAAACTGACCAACAGTTCAACAAACTGACCAACAGTTTAACAAACTGACCAACAGTTCAACAAACTGTTCAACAAACTGACCAACTGTTCAACAAACTGACCAACAGTTTAACAAACTGACCAACAGTTCAACAAACTGACCAACAGTTCAACAAACTGACCAACACTTCAACAAACTGTTCAACAAACTGACCAACAGTTCAACAAACTGACCAACAGTTTAACAAACTGACCAACAGTTCAACAAACTGTTCAATAAACTGACCAACTGTTCAACAAACTGACCAACAGTTTAACAAACTGACCAACAGTTCAACAAACTGACCAACAGTTCAACAAACTGTTCAACAAACTGACCAACAGTTTTACAAACTGACCAACAGTTCAACAAACTGTTCAACAAACTGACCAACTGTTCAACAAACTGACCAACAGTTTAACAAACGGACCAACAGTTCAACAAACGGACCAACAGTTCAACAAACGGACCAAAACTTTGCCGACGTTGTCAGACAACTCTGTCTTGACGTACACACACACACACACAAACACATACACAAACACACACACACACACATACACAAACATACACACATGAGTTATCTCCCTTGGCTCCCTCGTAAAATAAACATACTAGTTATCTACCCTATCTACTACGCTAAAATCAATAGTTATCGCCCCTACTACAGACATGAAATAGTGAATTTAGATGACACTGAATGACATAGGATGACAGATGCAATTAGATGACATACGGAATTAGATGGCATTAGATATGTGACATTATATGACAACAGATGATATTATATGACGTTAGATGACACTAACCTGAGTGAGACCGTAGCAGGCACAAAACAAGGGATACACCCCCTGCGTCAAAATTCCGACGACTAATTCCGGCATCCGGCTTTTATATCCGTACGGATCAAGCAGCATGAAGAGCGCACGTAGCAGACCGGAAGTGGCCAGCAGCAGCAGCGTGTTGAACACAATCTTCAACTTCCGGACCCGCAACCGGAAGCGGATGAAGACGGCGGCGCTGACCACCGTCAGGATCAGAAACAGGACAGAGAACCCGTACACGTGCAGTTCCCACCAGACGCCCCACCTCTCCAGCGCCACCCCCCAGTCGGGGAGCGGGGTGAGGCTCTTGACTTGCTGCAGCTTCTCCACGCTGGAGTTGGACCGGTCCCCCTCCCGGGGCGTGCCCGGGACCACGCCCTCCTGCTGGGTGGGACGGGAGACGTTCCATGACCCCGTGTAGAGGTCATCCCGTGACCCCGTGTAGAGGTCATGGCGGACGAGGCTCCGGATGTGACGGTTGAAAGATGGCGGACTGTAAGGTGAGTCCAGCAGAAACGACATACCATCCTGCTTTTATTTCAGAGGCCGAGGTTCAAAACCCACCACAGCAAGTCGCCACGTCTGGAAGACAAGGGACAACTTGTTAGACGTCAGTCATGGTTGTATTCGGTGATGTGTGTGGGTCGTATTCGGTGATGTGTGTGGGTCGTATTCGGTGATATGTGTGGGTCGTATTCGGTGATGTGTGTGGGTCGTATTCGGTGATGTGTGGGGATCGTATTCGGTGATATGTGGGGATCATATTCGGTGATATGTGTGGGTTGTATTCGGTGATGTGTGGGTTGTATTCGGTGATGTGTGGGTTGTATTCGGTGATGTGTGGGGATCGTATTCGGTGGTGTGTGAATCGTATTCGGTAATATCTTTGAATCGTATTCGGTGGATAATATTCTGTGATATTGTGAATCGTATTCGGTGTGGATCGAGTTTTTGAATGGATTGTATTCAGAATTGTATTCGGCTACATTTATGGATCGTATTTATTACGTGGAGTTTTATTCGATGCCGTTATCATCAATGTGAGGGTGATTGTATTTTGTGTGGTGGGGGATGTAAGGGCGATTGTATTTTGTGAGGTGGGGGATGTAAGGGCGATTGTATTTTGTGAGGTGGGGGATATAAGGGCGATTGTATTTTGTGAGGTGGGGGATATAAGGGCGATTGTATTTTGTGAGGTGGGGGATGTATTCGATTAATTGTGATTGTAGATGTAATAGATCACAAGTGTCAATCGTATTCTATTAACGTCACACGTTACTAAGTTCGTCACTTTTTATGGGGCACACTGTACTACATAGTTCATTACCAGAAAATATCAATCATTTAAGTAAAAAATGAAATTGTTCAGTGAGCATGCGTTCATGTTTTTTAGACAAAATGACCTACAACAAGACCTATAACATTACCTACAACAAGACATAGGTCTACAACAAAACCTAGACCTACAACAAGACCTACAACAAGACCTACAACAAGACCTACAACATGACCTACAAAAAGACCTACAACGACCTACAACATGACCTACAAAAAGACCTACAAAAAGACCTACAGAAAGGACCAACTAGATTAACAGACACGAACAACCAGATGAATACACCTCGATGAGCTGACCATGCTGAATGCACGCCCAATCTAGAACATTCCATCCCCGTCCAATCTAGAACATTCCATCCCCGTCAACCTGTCTGGCCACCACGTCCAGACATGGCCAGATTTTGTGACAAGACAACATTTCTGGCAGGAAATCTCAACACCCCCCAACCCCACCCCACCTCACTCCAACTCACCCCCAACCCACCCCCAACTCACCCCCAACCCACCCCCACCACTGACTTGTCATGTACATTCAGCAGGCCTGGTCGAACACAAAATATCAGCAGTCACCATCCAACGTTTGACACAGCACAGCAGAATAGAGACACGTAAACTAGACACGTAAACTAGACACGTAAACTAGACACGTAAACTAGACACGTAAACTAGACACGTAAACTTGACACGTAAACTAGACACAGAAACTGGACACGTAAACACAAAATAAATGAAGCAGCTTTACTATAAATAAACCTTTTTAAAACAGACGAATAGTTGGACGGCCAGAATACAGATGGTGTTTGATTGGACGGCCAGAATACAGATGGTGTTTAATTGGACGGCCAAAGAAAGCCACCCTACCTCCACGCTATAAAGTTGCGTTCACGATAAAACTAAAGAATCTTCTCAATACAATAAAAGAAGGCAATTCTTCTACATTCATCAATAAAACACGCGATATCATTAATTATGGTTGTAATTACATAAAAACTAGTTGTATGTGCAGCTATTTGACGTCATCGCCTCCTTTCAACAGACTGAGAACAATGACGTCACAGCATATATTGATAAACGATCTACAAAATGAAACATTGATTAACAGCCCGTCAAGTCACGGTCGACTGGTTTCTAGTTTTACTGCCTCCTTTGTTAATCAACGGCAACAGTGAGAGTGTGACGTCACGGCAACATTGAGAGTATGACGTCAACGGCAACATTGAGAGTGTGACGTCAACGGCAACATTGAGAGTGTGACATCAACGGCTACATTGAGAGTGTGACGTCAACGGTAAAATTGAGAGTATGACGTCACGCAGAATTACATTTTGATTGGCTGGTGAAAATAAACGGAATTTTACGGTTCTAGAGTTACATCAGTAACATTGTTACATTCCCAGGCTATTTTCTGTGTAAACCATCAATTGTAGATGGTTGCCGTGTGATGGACTGTTATAGACCGTGATGACGTCAGCAATTGCATTAATATATCTAACTGCACAAAGGGGAATCAGGGGAAGTAAGACATTCTACCTTCTAGAATCGAGGGAAGTAAGAAACCCACCTTCTAGAATCAGGGGATAGGATGACCTAATGACTGTATCTACTGGATGACCTAATGACCGTACCTACTAGATGACCTAATGACTGTATCTGCTGGAAGACCTAATGACCGTACCTACTGGATGACCTAATGACTGTATCTACTGGATGACCTAATGACTGTATCTACTAGATGACTTAATGACCTTTTGTTAGATGACCTAATGACCGTACCTACTAGATGACCTAATGACTGTATCTACTGGATGACCTAATGACCGTACCTACTGGATGACCTAATGACTGTACCTATTACATGACCTAATGACTGTACCTACTGGATGACCTAATGACTGTATCTACTGGATGACCTAATGACTGTACATACTGGATGACCTAATGACTGTACCTACTAGATGACCTAATGACTGTACCTACTGGATGACCTAATGACCGTTTGTTAGATGACCTAATGACTGTATCTACTGGATGACCTAATGACTGTACCTACTGGATGACCTAATGACCGTTTGTTAGATGACCTAATGACTGTATCTACAGGATGACCTAATGACTGTACATACTGGATGACCTAATGACCATTTGTTAGATGACCTAATGACTGTACCTACTAGATGACCTAATGACTGTACATACTGGATGACCTAATGACCGTTTGTTAGATGACCTAATGACTGTATCTGCTGGATGACCTAATGACTGTACATACTGGATGACCAAATGACCGTTTGTTAGATGACCTAATTACTGTATCTACTGGATGACCTATCTATAGACCTTAGCTGAAGATACGAGTCGAGAGGTAAGTAATTAAGTCTGGCTTTTAAGCGGCGGGTAGGGTAGGAAAAGGTCGGGGAGGGACGGGGAGATGGTAATCTTGTTTTAACTAATGGAAAGTTCTAGACATGGGCTTATAAATCCCCGAGTGGTTTCTCTTGGTTTACTTCAGTATAGTAGTACAGCCTGTGGTCTGTTCTGTGTAGTGGTCAGTTTAGTGGTCAGTTCTGTGTAGTGGTCAGTTCTGTGTAGTGGTCAGTTCTGTGTAGTGGTCAGTTTAGTGGTCAGTTCTGTGTAGTGGTCAGTTCTGTGTAGTGGTCAGTTTAGTGGTCAGTTCTGTGTACTGGTCTGTTCAGTGGTCAGTTCTGTGTAGTGGTCAGTTTAGTGGTCAGTTCTGTGTAGTGGTCTGTTCTGTGTAGTGATCGCTTCTGTGTAGTGGTCAGTTATATGTAGTGGTCAGTTCTGTGTAGTGGTCAGTTCTGTGTAGTGGTCAGTTTAGTGGTCTGTTCCGTGTAGTGGTCAGTTCTGTGTAGTGGTCAGTTCTGTAGTGGTCAGTTCTGTGTAGTGGTCAGTTTAGTGGTCAGTTCTGTGTAGTGGTCAGTTCCTTGTAGTGGTCAGTTTTGTGGTCTGTTCTGTGTAGTGGTCTGTTCTGTGTAGTTATCACTTCTGTGTAGTGGTCAGTTCTGTGTAGTGGTCAGTTTAGTGGTCAGTTCTGTGTAGTGGTCAGTTCCTTGTAGTGGTCAGTTTTGTGGTCTGTTCTGTGTAGTGGTCTGTTCTGTGTAGTGATCACTTCTGTGTAGTGGTCAGTTCTGTGTAGTGGTCAGTTCTGTGTAGTGGTCAGTTCCGTGTAGTGGTCAGTTCTATGTAGTGGTCTGTTCTGTGTAGTGGTCAGTCCTGTGTAGTGGTCTGTTATGTGTAGTGGTCTGTTATGTGTAGTGGTCAGTTCTGTGTAGTGGTCAGTTTAGTGGTCAGTTCTGTGTAGTGGTCAGTTCTGTGTAGTGGTCAGTTCTGTGTAGTGGTCAGTCCTGTGTAGTGGTCAGTTTAGTGGTCAGTTCTGTGTAGTGGTCAGTCATGTGTAGTGGTCAGTTTAGTGGTCAGTTCGGTGTAGTGGTCAGTCATGTGTAGTGGTCAGTTCGGTGTAGTGGTCAGTCATGTGTAGTGGTCAGTTCTGTGTAGTGGTCTGTTATGTGTAGTGGTCTGTTCTGTGTAGTGGTCTGTTATGGGTAGTGGTCTGTTATGTGTAGTGGTCAGTTATTTATAGTGGTCAGTTCTGTGTAGTGGTCATTTCTGTTTAGTGGTCTGTTCTGTGTAGTAGTCAGTTTTGTGTAGTGGTCACTTGACTCGTTTACCGCTAATTGTTAGCTGACAGTTGACTCGTTTAACGCTTAAACCTGACAAAATATTGACTCTTTTAGCACCCAAGACAAGCGGATATTTGGCTGGACGTTAACATACCAGTGAGACAGATGGGGTTGGTGCTGTTGTCAACAGGAGACATAGCTGGGCCAGGTGGGGGCGGGGGTTGAAGTAAGGTGGGGGTTGATGTGAGGTAGGGGTGGGAGTTGATGTGAGGTGGGGGTGGGAGTTGATGTGGGGTAGGGGTGGGGTTGATGTGGTGTGGGGGTTATGTGGGGTGGGTTGGGGGTTGATGTGAGGTAGGGGTGGGGGTTGATGTGGGGTGGGGGTGGGAGTTGATGTGGGGTAGGGGTGGGGTTGATGTGATGTGGGGGTTATGTGGGGTGGGTTGGGGGTTGATATGGGGTGGGGGTGGGGTTTAGGGGGTGGGGTGGGTTGGGGTTGATGTGGGGTGGGGGTTGGTGTGTTGTCAACAGAAGACACATCAAGGCGAGGTGGGGGTTGATGTGGGGTGGGGTGGGGTGACGTGGGGTTGATGTGGGTGTATTGTG